GTCCATGGAGATGCGTAACTTATGCCCCATTAACGGTACTGCGCCAGATATGGGTACGACAGTTTATCCGAGCCACACATGATTAAAGAAATTCTGAATTTGCCTATGATGTTGGGTTTTGCAAAAACAAAATTCAAGATATCGTAAAGGCTTGGAAAACGATTGTCAGAACCCAAGTGGCAATTACCACGATAATACATTTGAAGAATACGAACAGTTGCATTCGAATAGGGGAAAAACTGTGGTTCTCCTAACGACTGACAAGGGCAAAGGGAAGCTAGAGGTTCCCACTAGAAGAATTCTTACCGAAATGAGCCCATATCAGCCCAGTCAGCGAAAGGTTCGCAGGATAGAATACGAGCTGCGAGAAGGGAACCCCACATCAGCTAAAGAAAGACTACAACTAGGGTACAATTAAAACCTACCTCGAAGCATTGAGCTGGAATTACAACAGGCAAGAAGAAAGGTCGATTACCAAGGAAAAGAAAACAGACCGCTGGAACTAGATGTTCGGGACCCTAACAGAAGAATGTACCAAGTAAGAAGGGAAGGAGAGAGCTCCTAGGCAACCTTGAGGGCGCGAGACAATCAAATATCACAACAAGAAGCTGAAATTGTTTTTCTACAAACAGAAATCTTGTCCCTTCATGAAAAGGCTACTGTGTTGGAGGAGAAAGAAGTACAGTTAGCTCAGTATGCCAAAGTAAATCAAAGATTGAGGAAAACTGTTCAGGTACTTATGAGCCGTCAAGACAAAACTCAGAATGTTGCTGATGGGTTAATGCAGGATTATACCCATATTTGGGAACAATACAACCAAGTGGAGTATGAATTAGACTATGTGAAGCGCGATAACACAAGGTTACATCATAATTCAGAACATGTGCTCACTCAAGTCAGGCAGGTAGCTCGAAGGGCAGATGGTTTAGCTGAAGAGGCACGAACTCTCACGTCTGCCATTGCCCATACACAGCCGAATGACAAAAGCACACTCAAGTCATTGGCAAACTTCGACTCGACGAGATTTAGAGCATTGGGGACAGTTTTATTGACACTATGCTTTTAATATATTTTCAATTTCATGATTTAAGCTTTGTGGTTCAAATTTGGCACAATTGTTGCTTTGTTTCTTTCTTGTAATTTTTCATTTATTTATTTACCCTACTTATAATAAAATCACAAACTTATTTATTTACGGTTTTCTTTCCCTCTCTTTCTATCTTCTATTTTTCTAAAAAAAAACAAAAGGGATTGTTCAAGATAGCTTGCTCACCTGCATCACATCACACTTACTGTACCAGACGTAGGGCGAGAATAATAATGGAAGATCAAAAAGCTGAGCAGGAGAAAACAAGGAAAGATTGAGAAGTTGTGCGAAAAGTTAGATGACATCCTTCTCGCGTTGGAAAAAAGCAAGACGGTTGCAAATCCTGCTATATCTAGCAACTCCGTCCATGAGCCGCAAGAAACCCCGCCTTATCCACCTAGGTACGGTCCACCTCTTAGGCCAGTAGTAGAAGGTTTCATGACACAGCATACAACGTACAACCCTCTGTATGACATTCCGGTTGGTCAGTATCCACCTCCTTTTATTAAGGGAGCTCAACAAATCCCAGCCAACATCATTTTTCGAGAGCTCGAGCAAATGATGTCACCCCTACAGTCCTTAATCTCGGTGGTCTCCCAGTCAAGACAGACCCAGTCGGACAAAGTGCCCCTAGTAACGAGAAGTTCAAAGTTCTAGAGGAAAGATTAAGAGCAGTAGAAGGGACATACGTTTTTTGCAACATCGATGTCTCTTAGTTGTGTTTGGTATCTGGATTAGTCATCCCTCCGAAGCTTAAGGTGCCAGAATTCGAGAAATATATGATGGTTCTTCTTGTCTTAAGAACCACTTTAGAATGTACTACAGGAAGATGACAGCGTACGTTCAAAATGACAAACTGTTAATACACTGCTTTCAAGATAGTTTATCTGGTCCAGCTTCTCGTTGCTACATGCAGTTAGATAGCTCTCATGTCGGTTCGTGGAAGAATCTGGTCGAATCCTTCCTAAAGCAATATAAGCATAACATAGATATGGCTCCAGAGCGTTTGGATTTGCAGAGGATGGAAAAGAGTAACACATAAAGCTTCAAAGAGTATGCTCAAAGGTGGAGGGATACGTCAGCTCAAGTCCAACCTCCTTTAACTGATAAAGAGCTTTCTTTCATGTTCATCAACACCTTAAAATAGCCTTTCTATGATCGGATGATTGGAAGCGCTTCCACAAATTTCTCTGATATTATGACCATCGGAGAAAGAATCGAGTACGGGATCAAGTATGGTCGATTAACCGATATTGCTAGTGAGACATCAACCACGAAAAAGGCAAGGTCCTCGAAGAAGAATGAGGGTGAAGTGCAAATGGTGGGAGCTGACTGACAACAATGCCATAATAAACCTATTATAGCTTTGAAAAACCGTTATTAATGACATTTTATAGTATAAGAATAATGCTACAGTAGATATTCCACAACATTTTACATGACTTTCAATAAATGTCATTATAAAAATTTTATAACATTTTTTTATATGTGGTGGTAGTTGATATTATGTGAAGTAGTTGATTTTTTACAACATTTTGTTACAGTTACGGTAAATGCTATTAAAACTATAATGTTAACGCAATTTAAACTAGTCACAATACACATTGTTAACAGTGTACTAAATGTCGTTCAACACGTCGACATCATTTTTCCCTCTTATCGATGATATAACAAAATATCGTCAAAATGTTACGAAAATATCGACATTTCAATGATATTTACCGTAAAAAGGAACAAATTTGAGTTATGTTTTCGGAGGGTTGTTTTAGAAACTTATTTTCACAAATGTCTAAAGTTCTCCAATTTTACACTTTTAGATTTCTGCATGTAGAATTTTTTTATAATACCGATTTTACCCTTATTTATTGCATTTACATTTATTATAGTAATTTTTTTTTAAATCTAAAAGATTTAAATGCATAAATTGTAATCATATTCCTTTAATTATTTAGGGCCCCATACAAATTTTCAATACTAATCCCTTAATTCACTTCGTAAAAAAGATTTATTCCCATGATTTACCAATATTATTAATTACAAAAATATCCCAATTCGTCTCTGTCCTTGTATAATTTTCCACTAGTTGTCGGAAACCACAGCCATTCGGATACACCTATTGAGTATATACAAGAGTTCTTACAACTACTTAAATATTATAAAATATATCCGACTAAACTTTTTGAGGTATAAAATATATCCAGATATAATCTAAATCCCATATAAACTTGGATATCTTACAATTATCTTCAAATTACTTACAACTATCTTCATTAGTTAATACTCTAATTCAAATTAGTTAATACTTACAACTAATTGATACTAACTAGTTCTATATTTTATCCAATATACCCAACTCGACTCAGTATAAGGAATCAAACTCACTATAAGATATATCCTCATATATACAATAGTTCACACCTAAATTTTGCACCATTAAAATCATAAAGTACAAAAACAACCATTGAAGATATATGGGTATGGAAGGGGTTTCAAAAGGGTTTAACAGTACAAAAAAAAAAAAACCAGAGTTTTCAACATTGTTCAAATTTGAAATCAAAACTAGGAAGATATATTAGAATGCAAAATATATCGAAGTTTATATGGTGAGACAAAACAAACTTTTCGGTTGGTGACTAAACAATGATTGGGATAAAAAGAGATGAAGGAGAAGCTAGACGGTTTGCTTCGACGACGAAGAAGAACATAACGAAGACTGGAGACGAAGGAACACAGACGGCGACCGGAGACAAAGTAGCAGACGGAAACCGAATGATAGAGGAAAAATAATAGTTGACGGACTGCTTTGGCGATGAAGAAGAATGGAGACGGCGGCCGGAGATGAAGGAACGCAGACGACGACCGGAGACCAAGGAACAAACAGAAACAGAACGACAAAGGAAGAAGAAAAGTCGGAGGAATCGGGTTTTCAGATTTTTTCAATAATGTAGTATTTTTTGGGATTTGGTATTTTTTACTTTTAGAAAGTATAATTATGCAAAATTTAAGGGATTTAAATTGTAACCTCCCGAGTAACCAATTTTGGATTTAAAAATTAATTAATATTGAGGTGTAGATACAAAAGAATATACTAGTAATTTGGGTGATGAGTATAATCTTAAATAGGGTTGTTTCATGACAAAAATATAAATTTTATACATTCAATCTTGTATGTAATTATAATTTTTAAATAACCTATCAATGTACTAATCTCAAAAAAATTTAGCCAAGCCCACGTACGGGAGCCCAGCCCAAAGCCATGACATTGGATGGATGAGATTATGAAAAGAAAGAGGGGAGGAGATCGCCTTGGGCGCTCCGCCCCTCCCTTCCCTCATTTTTGATGTGGTATCGTTTAGGGACATTCAGCGTGTGCATTTTTTTTTCTCTCTCTCTTCGATTATTCTTATTCTTATTCTAATAATAATAATATTATTATTATTTAAAATTTTATATTGACTTATTTTTATTTCAGTTGAATTTTATTTTTCAATTTTTATTTTCAAATTTAATTATAAAATTTTCAAACCTATCCTACCATTTAAGAATTTTAGCTATGTATTGATTCAATTATGTAACTAAACACTAGATTTAATTATAAATTATCAATAAACCATAATTAATTAATATTCAAATTTAATTTATTAGTTCAAATTATTTAAATCTTAGTTATCTTGTTCCAACATTTCTATCGACATTTTTATGAGTAAGTTATTCATATTTTTACATAAGTGGTCAATTATATTTATAATTAAAATTTTATTTACTGATTAAAATAATTTTTATTAATTTTCACAATTTCTATTACTTTTTTTTCAAAATATCCCTCGAGAGTAGAATCGGAAACATTTATAACTTTGATGGTTAACGTGCAAAGGGACAAAAATGTATTCCATTCGTTTTTTTTACAGCAAAATTGCATAGTTCGTTGATAAGCTTTCTTCACCGAGAAAAAACCAGAGCTTCGTCTCCACTCTCCATTTTCGTTGTTCCATGAAATGTTGCAGACGCACTCTTCAATCCCGCTTAAAACCCTAACGGACCATTCCCCTCCGCCCTTCACATTCTTCCCCTCACACCTCCTTCCTTCACTCTCCTCCCACCCTCCCAAATCTTCCCGCTTCCTCCTCCGCTGCTCCGCCGTCGACTCCGGAACTCTCCCCAAATCCGCCATTCAAAGGATTGCGGATAAGCTTCGTAGCCTCGGGTTCTCAGAGGAAGAACCGGAAACAGTATCCGAGCATAATACAGCAGTTGGCCCTGGAGAAATCTTCGTTCCGTTGCCGAATCAGCTACCCAAGTACCGGGTTGGGCACACGATTGATTCAAGCTGGAGCACGCCGGAGAATCCTGTTCCGGAGCCGGGCACGGGGATTGCGATTAAGAGGTTTCATGGATTGAGGAATGAGGTGGAGAAGCAGAAGGAGAAGGAGGGGAAGGTGAGGAAGAAGAGAGAGGAGAGAGCGCCGACATTGGCGGAGCTGAGCTTGCCTGAGGAGGAATTGAGGAGGCTCGGGGAAATTGGGATTAGGTTGAAGCGTAAACTCAAGATTGGGAAGGCTGGGATCACGGAGGGGATTATAAACTCAATACACGAGCAATGGAGGCGGTATGAGGTTGTGAAGATAGTGTGTGAAGATTTGTGTAGGTTGAACATGAAGCGGACCCATGATTTATTGGAGGTTTGGTTCTTGATTTTCCTGCTTCGATTCTGACTCTGAGTTTGTCAAAGCTATGTGTTATTATGCGTTTTCCGTATTTTATTGGAGCTTCTCATAATCGTAATAAAAAGAAAATAGTAAGTGATGCTTTGAAGCAAATAAAATGCTCAGTCTCTGATAACTTGTTACTTTGGAGTGTGCTTCAACTCAGGAGAATTGTTTTATCTTCATTTGGCCGGTTATGATTTTAACTGCTTGAAATGAATTTATATTATAATGTTATGAAAAGTTTTAATTAATCTTTTTCGGTTGGTACATCAATCTGATTTTGGCTCGTGGTTCAAATTCCCAGAGAAAAACTGGAGGAATAGTTATATGGAGATCTGGAAGTAAAATAATATTATATCGGGGGGCCAGTTATATATATCCTTACTTCTCTCATGAAAGTTTGAAAGATGAAGCATCTCAAGTTGCTTTACTGGGTTCAAATATTGATGATGGAGAGAATAGTGAAACAGAGAGCACTTCGTCTAGCATAAATGGTGAAAAATCAGCTGGACCAACTTCATCTAGTAAAATGGCTGGTCCGACCCTGATTCAAGGTGTTGGTGCACCAAATAGAGTGAGATTTCAACTTCCAGGTGAGGAAGAACTTGCAGAAGATGCTGAGAGTTTGCTAGAAGGACTAGGTCCGCGTTTTTCGGATTGGTGGGGATACGATCCTCTACCTATTGATGCGGATCTTCTTCCTGCTGTTGTTCCCGGATATCGGAAACCCTTCCGCCTTCTCCCATATGGAGTGAAGCCTAAGCTAACTAACGATGAAATGACCTCATTAAGGAGACTTTCTAGGCCGTTGCCATGTCATTTTGCATTGGGTGAGTGGTTTGATGCAAATTCTTAATCGTTTGGTCAGGATTGCTTACTATATTTTCGTCAATTAACAGGTAGAAATAGGAACCTTCAAGGACTTGCTGCTTCCATTATCAAGCTATGGGAAAAATGTGAGATAGCGAAAATCGCAGTTAAAAGAGGGGTACAGAATACAAATAGTCAGTTGATGGCTGAAGAGTTACAGGTTATTGATTCCTTTTCAATTCTCTTTACACGTCTTACATCTTGTGTCTGTTGGCATCTCAGGACTATATCTGAAACATCACAAGTTCCAGGAAATAGTGTTTAGATTTATTTATTTTTAGTCTGTGTATAAACAAATAATCCTAGGTTGCATTTCTGGTTAAACGTGAAAAAGAATTCTAAATGTTCTTCAGACTTAGGAAGGTAATGTAAGCTGACGACAGTTCTTTGAGAGACCTTATTGTTATATGCATCTTTTATAAGCTGATTCTCTTTATGTGCTTATAAAATTAATATTGTGTTTGCAGTTGCTAACTGGAGGAACTTTGCTTTCCCGGGACAGGGAATTCATTGTCTTATACAGGGGAAAGGATTTTCTGCCATTTGCCGTATCTTCCGCAATTGAACAGCAACGGTACATTCGATTACATAAGATGAAACAGATGGATAATGAACCAACTACAACAATGCAAGAAGAGAAACTTGAGATGAATGAAAGTGGTCCCACAAATGAAAGTCAAAGCATCACGGAGTGGAAAAGGGCTGTCTCTGAACAGAAAAAGCTGATGTCATCTGAGGCATCTATGAGAAAGACTAGCATCAAGTTGTCCATTGTATGTCTTCATCAATAGTGCTGCAGCTAAGTAGCTAACAACTTCATCTCCTGGTTTCTGAGTTACAACTTTGTGTTACTCATGAACAGGCATTAGAAAAAAAAGTGAAAGCAGAGAAACTTTTAGCAAAGCTGGAGGAAGAAGAGCTACTCCAACAACCTGAAATAGACAAAGAGGGAATAGCTGTGGAGGAAAGGTATATGCTGAAGAAGGTTGGATTGAGAATGAAGCCTTTCCTACTTCTTGGTCAGTGATGAAAATCTATTACGAGGGATTTTTTATTGGAAAGTGACATGCCAAATTACGTATAAATCCTTTCTCTCACAGAAACAAGCCCTTTGAGTTTGCTTTATATTTTTCATATGCACAGGTAGAAGAGGTGTTTTTGATGGAACAGTTGAAAACATGCATCTACACTGGAAGTATAGGGAACTTGTGAAGATAATTACTAATGAAAGAAGTTTTAAAACCGTTCATGATATAGCACGAACCTTAGAGGCAGAAAGTGGTGGAATTTTAGTAGCAGTTGAGAGAGTGAACAGGAGTTATGCTATCATTATATACCGTGGGAAGAATTACAAACGGCCTTCACGCTTAAGGCCTGAGACACTCTTGAATAAAAAAGAGGCATTGAAGCGATCTATAGAGGCACAACGTCGAAAGGTGAGACAAGTTTATTCCATCCCCTAGCATGTGTTATATCCATCTTCGATTCTTTTGAATCTTTTCCTGCACCTCAAAGTGTAAATAGAGAGCATTCCCCGAATTTACTTGGGAGGTAAGAAGCCAATAAACTAAAGGTTATGGTTGATTGGGTTTAAGTTGGAGTTCTCTTGAGATTTATATATTCTTAGAAATGATGCCAAAAGGTACTTGGTTGTAGACTGCATAACATCCTGATTCCTGCATTTATGCTGATGGAATCCCTTTCTCTTTGAACGCTTCTGCTCTATCCTTTAAATTTTGATCCACTTTCTATCATATTAGTTCCATTTAAATAATAGCGTGCCTTTATGTTTTGTTTCTTGATTTCTGTCTCAATCATAGAGAAGATGTTAGGGCTTAGAAGCCATTAAAGAGATGCATCATCACATGTAAATCTATTATTGATACTCTCTCAAGTAATAGGGCTATTTTGATGCCATCTTAATGCACATAAGTTTGAAAAGTCTCCTTGAAGGTCCTTTTCTTATTTTGGTCCCTAATTATATGTTTCCATAAGATCAATACTTACGATGAACTCCAAGAAGAGAAGGTCTTTTATCTCGCTTTATCTCTATTGATATTTTCTGTCGAGAGAACACTGAAAATCAGGATCATATCTTATGAGCCCATTATTCACTAGGGGGCTATGGAATGGCTTCTTCTTGAATTTCAATTTACATGGGTCATGGGTGTATTCCGAGCACTCTTCAAGATTTCCTTCAATGAACTACCTACAGCCATGACTTGACGAAAATAGCTAGATTTCTGTGGTCAAACATTGTCATTGCACATGCGTAGGAAGTTTGTCTTGAAAGATTTCATATTTTTTAGGATAAGTTAAGATGTGAAAAAGAAATTATGGATTTAGTGATCTTCCTTGTATCTAGATGAAATACAGTATTTAAAGTTTTTTATAAACGACAATTACTTTTCTTCTCTGATTCATGCCAACTAAAATGCCTTCATGTAACTTTTTTTGCTTGTTGGAGAGTGTCTTATCCTCCTCTTTTTATAGTAAATTTTGGTAACTATCATACTTGTTTCTTTTACAAAAGAAACAACGTTGAATATATTTTCTCTGCTCCAGCTGCTTATTCTATCTCATGCTGTGATTTTGCAGTCATTGAAACTTCATGTTCTAAAGCTTACACAAAACGTAGAAGAGTTGAAACTTAAATTGGTGAGTTACTCAATCTACCTTCTCTCTTGGTTCTTTTGTTCCCTTGCCAATTTTTCCAAGTAACTACGATCGAGGCTCACACCTCTTAGGATAAAGACAAGGAGGCAATTGGTATGGAGTTGATAAAAACTTCAAAATTTCAGCTGGTGTGCTTTTTCTATATTTTTTCATACACAAGCCCTTATTAATCCAAATAATCATTAGATTGGAAAATTACAGTTTTGACATGAATCAGGGAAAAGAAGGGACAAACGGGATACAAACATCTGGAAGTTTGAAGTTAGATGCAGACACTGATCCTGCCGGCCTCTCTCATTCAGAAGATAGTGCTTGCCTGGGGGACAATGAAGTGGTAAGATTCGTACCATGTAAATGTTTGGAAACATATGCATACGTAGTCTCTGACTTCTGCCTATTGTCTGATCAAGGATAATCTCTTGTAAAAGCTCCTATTTTCAAAACAAAAAATTTTCCCTACTCCCTAGCCCTGATATCTATACTTGAGCTGATTTAAACAAAAATATTTTATTCTTACGTAATACTCAAATTTGTATATATGTAGGCCTGTTGATTAATTTGTACTAGTTACTGTGTAAGAAATTTTCCATGAGTTTTTTCAGAAGTGACATAGGAATTATCCTTCTGCATAATTGTATTAGGCCATGGTCGAAGGGGGTCAAGATCATGTAACCCCTACGAGTGGAAATTATTGTTTGGACACTTCAATAAACAGTCTACAAGCCGTTCAAAGGGATAATGATGTCTTTTTAACATATGCTGGCGATCAGTCTAATGCCGAACTCAAATCTTCATCTGAACCAGCTTGGCTCGGAAACCGTGCAAAGGTGTCCAAGGATTCAAATGCTGAATTTGGAAGTGTAGAACCTCTATCAGATGCTGATTGTTTGGTATGTCAACAGTTCTATCTTTCTATTTGATCATTTTACTTGTTATAAATGCTCATACATTATAGCTGCTAGAATTCCAGTCAGGAGATAGTAATTCCGGAACTTCAGATGTCACACATCTTGTTGCTTTGAATGAGGCTATGAAGCCATATGTTGGATTAGAAGAGGAAGAACCAGCACTATTACTTCCCTCAACGATGGTAAACCAACCAGGTCATATTCCTGCCGGAGCTCTTCAACTCTCCAACAAAGAGAGACTTCTTCTGCGAAGGCAAGCCCTCAAGATGAAAAAACGTCCTGTGCTTGCTGTAGGTAACTCATGCTTCCATCTTTCTACTTTGAGTTTTGCTTTACTAATTTTAGGGCCAGATATTAGGAGATGCAGGTGGACACAGCTTAAGGAACTCTGTTTCAATCCCTTTTTCATCGATTAAGGCTGGAACCATCATTAGAGAGAGAACCATCAAAATAATTCATCATCCTACCATTTATATATTCATGGAAGAATTAAGAATTTTCATCCCCCTTTTTGAGCCATTGGCTTTTATGTCTCCGATTCTCCAGACTCTGTGTCAGCCATTGATCTCTCTCTCTCTTTCCATTGAGCAAAACTATTGATTACGACAATTAGATGACACGTTGTCATGTCATATTATTTCTCTGTTAAACTGGCAACCATGCTTTCATTTGAAGGAAAAAAATATGTATTGATGTTTCAGCATTGATTGTTGAGGTGATTAATCAAATATACCTTTTAAATAAACTTGACCTCAGTGACTTAATTTCTGAACTTCCATGGATGCTTGTTCAGCTTTTGCAACGCCCTCTATTAATTTTTAGGGATAGCGCCTTGCTTCTCTCCCAACCCATCCCGCACTGCCCCCAACCATCACCGTCGTTCACCACCCAATAGCCTCTTTAACAACCCTCTTAGAAAACTTCAATGGAGATCCATCAGCCAAAAACAGGCCCTTTGGAGGAAGCAATTGATGCAAAAAATGGGGTTTTTATCCTGAATTTGAAACCGGGATCTGCTCTTTAGCTTCTGCATGGGGGCATTGGAAATCAATTCTGTAATATCAGAACTTGATCTTTGACCGTTTATCATACAAGATTGGAGATGGGGCAAATATCTCCTTTTGAAGATGATGTATGGCTGTCGGAAGTAGCCTTAGCTTGAAAGCTTCCCCTTCTTATTGAATTATCTTTGGAAAAAAACAGGCTGCTTTACGGGAGTTTTGGGTGGCTGAAACAGATGCATGGAATCTTAGGCTGAGAAGGAATTTCAAAGATGAAGAAATTGATGAATGGGTTGGTCTTTTACAGCACCTTTCCTTGGTTCATCTATAGCGATCCCTGACAAGTCATTATGGAAGCTAGAATCAAATGGTTTGTTCACAGCAACCTCTCTTTTACGGGGTCTGTTTTTGGAAAGATAAGATGCTGCCCCACAGCTTTACGAAGCTATCTGTAAAGATCACAACCCAAAAAGATAAATTCTTTCTTTGGGAGCTAGCCATAAAGCTATTCACACTCATGATAAGCTCCAACATAGCCCTACATGAATATTTTCTGCAGTGCGGTTCTTTATGCAAGAAGAGTCTAAATCACATCAACACATCTTCATATCCTTTGAGTTTGCGAAAATTTTTTGGACATACATTCTATCAAGCTTTGGTTTGTATGTCGGTTCTTCCAAATGACCCCTTGATTCTCCTCTCTGTTGTCCTTGGAAACCACCTTTTTACAAAAGGAAAATAAGCTTCTATGGATAAACTTTGCTCGGGCCTTCTTTTGGGTTACTTGGCAAAAATGGATAGAATCTTCAAAGGCGGACCGATTTTTTTGAAGCTATAGTTTTGTTGGCTATTACTTGGTGCAAATGCTCCTCCATTTCTATAGCCTTTCTTCTCTTTTATCTAATCGAAGAAGTTTTTTTTTGGAACTCCCTTAGATTGGGGCTTGCCCCTCATTTTGTAATTTCATATACCAATGAAATTGTTTCTTATATATATATTTTTTTTAGGCCAGAGCAACATAATTACAGGAGTGGCAAAAGCAATCAAGCAACATTTTAAGAAGCATTCTCTTGCCATAGTAAATGTCAAAGGCAGAGCCAAAGGAACATCAGTCCAGGAGATTGTTTTCAAGCTGGAGGTAAGCACACCCAAGTACCCCCTGTTTTTTTTGTGCTCCTATAGGTTGAAGTTTAACGGTTTACATTTCTTTATCACGATCATTTTCCCCTTTCGGTAGCAAGCAACCGGTGCAGTTTTAGTCTCTCAGGAGCCGAGCAAAGTCATTCTTTACAGGGGTTGGGAGGATGCAGATAAACCCAAAGATGGAAAACAGATAGCCACCAAGAAGCATGAAGCTCAACTATGTCCTGAACTCTTGGCAGCTATCAGGGTTGAATGTGGGTTGCAGTGAACTGAAAGGAAAGGTCAGTTTCTCCAAGTGAAGATCTAGCTTGTACCTCAGGTATTTCTTTAATCCACACCAGTCGTTCTCTTGAATCATTTCTTTTTTCTTTTGATAGGAAACAAATTTCATTGATAGCATGAAATATACAAAAAAGGCCTATCCAATGAAGTTACAAAAAACTTCTCCAATTGGATATAAAGGAATTTAAACTATAACTATCAAAAGGATTTACACTTTTGCACCATGATAAAGCCAAAAAAATAATGGAGTCAATCAATTGATGGACCAAATGATCGATGTCCTTGAAGATTGTAGAATTCCTCTCTTTCCAAACAATCCAAATATAGGCCCTGTTTAAGTTGAATCAGTTCAATTGCTAGATGTTTCTCTATTTGCATTTTATATCATATAGGTTTGCAAGAAACTTAACTTTTGATCTATCTTTTATCTTCCTATAAATTCACTTGAATTCTAAAATTTTAATTCAGTTTCTTAAATCTAGAAAAAAAAAAAAATCTTATTTTACAAAGTTATTGATCAAAATAAGTTGAAGTCTCATATCCAGTTAAATCTAATATAGACTCTCTTCTTAATTTAGCCTTTTAATTCAGGCTTAAAACCTGAAAAAAAAACCTCACCTTTTAAATTTATATTTTACAAGTATATCGATATAAAGATTGAAAGTTCATATTGTGTTTACTTCTGAGTTCTTTTTCATAAATTGAGTTTTAAGTTATGAAGTCAATTATATATATATACCTTTCAAATACTATTTGTTAGTCCTTAGGCTAAAGACTCTAGTAGGGAAAAAAAAATTTGTTCTCTCTTTGAGTTATATTATTCAGTGGAGATTGTGATCAAAGGTATTTGGATATTCTCTTTATGAAGACTAAGACTAGATTCTCCTTAGGTCAGTATTAAATAAAAATCTTTTTCAATAAAATAAATGAAAAAGTTCCCAAGTTTTTAATATAATTTGGTCAACTAGTTGCTGAATTTTCCTTAATTAGTATACCTTATTATATAAATTAAAATTGATATATATATATATATATTTTTGAAACAGAATTCAAATTGATTTGTGTTCTTAGACAATCCAGTTATCTTAAAGATTTTTCTTCATGGTCATATATAATCATACTTTTACAAGATTATCGTGTTTATTGAAAACGCATATATTAATAACGAAAATCACATAATACATTTTAAAATACTGCTTTATTTTTTTTATAAAGCCAGCAGATAAAAAGAAGCTTCAAAAGCACTAAACATTATTACCATATTGCTCAACTTTATAACATTCAATATTTTGTTCAATACAGTAAAAATTCATCTGGTTTTGTACAAATATCAATAATGAAATTATTATTCAATCATACGTGCTAGTTCATAAACGATGGGTTTATATTAAGTTCCTTGCATGTGTAAAAGAGTATTCCTTTTCTTTGGTTGAACATATCAAAGTTGTTACTTGTAGAATTTCTTGTTTTTTGTTTTGTTTTGTTTTTTTCTTTGAGAAAATTAGTTGAAGAATTTCTAAAAGTTCAATCTTCAGGTGCCCAGAGTAGACAATTATCTATACCTCCAGTATTCAACTGTGTTTTCTCGCTCACTGTCGGTGTTGGCGCTCGTTGGTAGCTGGTGGGTTTACTTTGCTGCTATCATTTTAGCAGGTAAATTCTTGATACCCTCTTCTCCCTTGGAGCCACCGGTGACATTTGAGTGGTAATAATGTGCCATGGCTCAATCTTAATGCCTATGTAGATTGATAACTGATCTTGAATGGCATTAGATAATCTTATGATCTAAAAATTCAATTCTCGTTTGTTGCATGGAGGCGAGAGCCAAAAAAAAAAAAAGAAAAAGAAATTCAACTACTACATCGTGTCTTGTTTGATAAACGTTTTGTTTTTTGAAAATAAGCTTATAAATACTTAATTTCACCCTATGTATTCCTTTGTTTTGCTATTTACTTTTAAAATATATATATTTTTTTCACAATCAGGCAAAAAAAAAAAAAAGAAAAAAGAAAATAAAATTGCAGTTCTCAAAACTTGTTTTTGTTTCTGAACTTTGGCCAGAAGTTTGTTGTCAAACTGAGTCTCGACTTTCCCGAAACCTGAATTTAGGTTCTAGATTGATATTTGGATTCAAAGTTAAAAGGTGTTGGGATTTCTATAGTTTTTGCTTTACGAATTTATGTGGTAGGTAGGTTTATGCATCTTGGATTAGATTAGAGGTTTGTTAATTCCATAAAATGCGTAAATTTAAGTTTCTAATATACACTCACTTACATAATGCTGCAAGCGTAGTTATATAAATTTAGATTTCAAATTTTAAGACTACAAACTTACTTTAGACTGGTAAATCTAGCATTAAATTCTTGAACGTAATTTCACATCAGCTAGAAGTTAGGTATAGAAGCAGGATCAACCTCGACATTTCTATTAGTATGAGATCTTCTTAATCTATTCAAAAGTAAAATTAAGTTGATTTATGTCTTATACAATTGTAGGAGTTTGAAGAGATTCGTTATTCTAACAAATGAAAATTTGGCTTAATCGTTTTAATGAGATTCTGAGTATAGTATTAACAAGATTCTAAGTGTTAAATAAAACAACGATGCTGAGAGAGAGTCCCAGAAAAATTCTAAACAAATGTTGCGAGTCTGGGGACCTATATGATAATATTTTTGTTTTTTTATTTCTCATTTCTAATTTTTGAGAATCATAAGCCTTTGGTAATTGAGTTTTTTTTTTTCTTTCTTATTTTTGTTTCCAAATTTTTTCAAAACAGAGACAAACATATATATTTTTTAATCTTTTACTTATATAATGCATAATAAATATAACAAAAAAATCTTTGAAAAATAAGAAATAAGAAATTATTACTAAATATGTTTTTGGTTTTTTTTTCAATAAAAAAGAAATAAATTATTAAATGTAATTATATCTTTGGTGATTGAAAACAAGAAATAAGAATGTTACTAAATGAGAGATTCAACGTTAAGGGTTGTGTCGGAATCTTTCTAGTCTTTACGAGTGGGTCTATCTTGCCCCTTTTATTAATAAGAAGGTAAGCTTCGGAGCAAAATTGTCCGTCAGCTCGCTGGTATTCTAAAAAAATGGTTATTGTTTAGGGGCAAGAATTTATTATCATATTGATTAAAAATGGATAATATCATCACACATATCTTAACAAATAGGACCCTTTCAAGAATTGAATGGTGAATCTCTGTAGAGAGGAAGAGATGATGTAAGAAAATGAAATGAAATAGAGAAATTATTCAGTATCCATTGACTTTATGTCGTTGGGAGTGACTTAAATGAAATTTGTGTATATCTCATGTTGGATGTTTGTGATCATACCTAAGGTGAATAAAGATTTTGAAATCTACATCCAACACGGCACGGGCCGATTATTAAATGGTTTATAAAATTAAATTCTCTATGAAAACATAATTACAAGAGAGGCCTTAAAATTCCCACACATAGTCATCAACAAGCTTTAACAGATGGGGAACTCGGAGAAGCCTTGGCCGCCGGACGCTCCTTCTTCCCACAATCGCCACCGCCGCCGCTCCTCAAACCCAAAGCCGCCATAAACTTCTCGTTCCACCGCATCTCACCTCCCGCTGGCTCTGGCGCTGGCGC